TTTATCACAAAGACCGATTTGATGAACGCGGTGCGGAGAAGGAACCGCTTGTCAACTACTTTGATGGTGATGGTCAGCCCCTGCACTTCGTTCAGCATACGCGGCACACGCTGGCAACTACAGCCGGCGGTGGACGTTCAGCGGCAGAGGCTTTTCACCAGGCTCCAGCCTCGGACCTCAAGCCTCACCTCCGGGGTGCTGGCGGCGGTGGAGACACTGATGCCCTCGCGGGAGTGTTCGACTACGAAGGTCAGGCAAAAACCGTCCACAGGCATCGCCAGAAAGGACATAAAAACACTAATGATGCGCTGCCGACCGAAGAGTTTGAAGAATGCCATCTCAGCGACCTAGACAGAGACTCCCCTGCATTTAACATTGATGACATCCAGTGTCCGGGTTGTAGACAGGCTGTTGCCCATGAGGTTCTTCTTCAACAGCGGTAAGACTTTCTGCGTGGAATACGCGATCTTCTCATTTGGTTTTTCTGCCTGCAACAAAAACTGAAACTCATTCGCCTTTAATGCATGTTACCTTAATGTCAGTACTACAGAAGATTTTCAGAGCTTGGACGGAGTAAACTGAACATTACTGGCCTTTCAGCTCCCCTAGACCAGCAGTTTAATGAGTGAAAAGGACACTTCTAAAGGCATACTGAAGATAGTATGCTGAAAACAAGTTTAAATGTAATTTAGAAGATTAGTTTGCGAGGGTATGTAGGCTTTCGATAAATTCTCGTCGAGCCAGTATATTTATAAGGGAACGGGGTACAAGTTAAAACGTGTTCATCTTCTCTTACAAGTGAGTCGTGGGAATAGGAGGAGGGGGTCGATAAGGGAAGGCTGGTTTTGAGTGCAGGGTTTGGTGGAGCTAGTCTAGGGAGGGGGGAGGGTAGGGGGGAAAGGAAGACAAACAGAGCGCGGACGAGTGCTTCCCCTAAGTGACCGTGGAGCACGCCAGACGCGGAGCTTGTACGAGGTTCTTTTGTGCATCCAGCGTCGTCTGGCGCACACGGTTGACTCCGAACATCGTGTGGACCCCAACAAAGTCTCTTGGGTGATCTATAAGGTCCCACCAAACTATTTAAAGGCTCTGGGTTAGCGCCTGCTAGCAAAAGCATAAGCGACCGCTATCAGGTTGGTGAAGCCGGCGTTGTGTGCACAAAAGAACCTCCAACAAGTTCCGCGTCCGACGTGGCCCACAGTCACTTAGCAGCATGCACTCATCCGCGTTCTGTTTGTCTCCCGCCCCTCACTCCCTTCCCTGGACTAGCTCCACCAAACCCTGTCCCGGTAACTAGCCTTCTCTCATCGACCCGACCCCCCCCCCTTATTCCCACGGCTCACTTGTACGAACTGACGAATACGTTTTAACCAGTAACCGTTCCCCTATAAATGCACTGGCCCGATGATAATTTATCGAAAGCCCACGTACACTCGCTAACTACTTCTCTGAATGTTGTGATGGGAATTTTGGCAACTTTAAATTTACTTCATTTAAGCACATGGAGTAGTTATTATGGAATCATTGAGGGAGATAAAGTGGATAGTCTAGACACCTAAAGGTTGTATTGAACAGCCTCATATTGCAGATTTGTATCACGACTGTGCAAAATATTCCATTTAAGCCGGAGTTTTGATGGAAAAGCTCACTCACTCACTGCTCCTTGCCTACGGGCCGACCGTCGACATAGAAGGGAGACCGGGATGGCTTTTTGGCATACTCACTGCCTAGGTTTGCATGACCGGGAATTTTAATCCACATTTTTTGGCCACTGGGCATTTACATGTTCAACGTTACTCCCTACAGCCAGAGGTCCCTTGATCTGTCGGTTGCGTTCGGAACATTAACTATGGTGATATGGCAAAAAATCAGGGAGCGCTTTACGACCTTGCGTGTCATGCTTGCCCACTGGCCATGTGGAGTAATTCATGTCTACCCTGGGAGGGGTGGGCTGTGCTCAGGTGAGGGAATTGGCGTGATGAGGCCTGGACCGAGTTGTTTTTGTGGGAGTACATGGAACCGAATGCCTTGGGCCAGTGTGGATGGATTAGGTGAGGGTAACTGGTGCGGTTGGGGGCTTCTGGCACTGGTTCTCCGGACTCAATGTACTGGACGTACAAGTGGCTGACAAGGCCACCTGTGTCTTTCAGACGTACAGCGCAGAACGA